TGATCGTGTTCTTATCTATCTATCTTTTTTTTTTATTTTTTTCGGTTTTGCCTTTTGCTGAGGGACCGAAGTTTTATTTTTGGTTCGAAATTTTCGAATTTCTATTCGAATTTTTCGTTTATTTTTCATAAGTCTTAAAAAAAAAGTGTTATCTAGTCCTTTGTTTGATTTTTTGTTCGGTTATTACCTTTTGTTGAGGGGCCGAATTTCTCTCTGTTTTATTCTTTATTTTTGGGTTCGAATTTTGTATTATTTAGAGTCAAAAAAAAAAAGTCTTACTTGCGATTGGATGAATTGGATCTGGAAGATCTTGAGTATCTCTAAGGATTGGAAAGGGAATTAACTCCTTGGGAGCAAGAATTTTTGGAGGAGCTTCATGAACGTAGAGATTGGGAGGAGCGTGAACGACAACTCATGGAAGTTAGGGGAGTTGAAGTGGCCAACGTTCAGAACAATGAAGATGAAGGTGCGTTAAATTTTCTAATCCTTGAGGACAAGGAAAGTCTCGAAGAGGAGGGGAATGATACGGAAGTGGTTATTAACCCCTGTGAGTCAAGTGATGGGATGGTTGAAGATCTCGATTTATGGTTGGAAAATATGCTAGAGGAACCATCTAGTCCGATTTCTGGCCATCATGTGTGAGGGATTGGCCAAAAGGATGTGGTCCGAAGCTGAGAGTGAAGTCTAAGAAGTACAAGGCCAAGCAAGCCCGAAGGAAACGCAAGGCGAAGGCTAAAGAGAAGAAGTGTTGGTGTAAGCCTTGTGCGAGAAAGAGACGAGCTTGGAAGATAGAGGCTAGAAGGCGGGGTTTGCGATGGGTTGAAGAAGGGTGGTGGATACCGGCGGAAGATTGTGTGAGGTTGAAGGGTTGGGATCCATGGCCCGAGCTGACGGGAACGAGCGGCAACAAGGAGGACGACAGTGATCGGCTAATGGGCGAATGGCGCGCATCGGCCCATGATGCGCGCGGTTGGACTGAACAGGCCACACGCTGGTGCACGGTCGACGGAGAGGTGCAAGAGAGCTACGCACAAGGGTGCGCGACAGGTGAACGCGAGGTGTCAAATGCGCAAGGGCGCGATGTAGGCGAGCGGGCCACAGACGGTGGCGAACAATGAAGATGAAGGTGCGTTAAATTTTCTAATCCTTGAGGACAAGGAAAGTCTCGAAGAGGAGGGGAATGATACGGAAGTGGTTATTAACCCCGGTGAGTCAAGTGATGGGATGGTTGAAGATCTAGATTTATGGTTGGAAAATATGCTAGAGGAACCATCTAGTCCGATTTCTGGCCATCATGTGTGAGGGATTGGCCAAAAGGATGTGGTCCGAAGCTGAGAGTGAAGTCTAAGAAGTACAAGGCCAAGCAAGCCCGAAGGAAATGCAAGGCGAAGGCTAAAGAGAAGAAGTGTTGGTGTAAGCCTTGTGCGAGAAAGAGACGAGCTTGGAAGATAGAGGCTAGAATGCGGGGTTTGCGATGGGTTGAAGAAGGGTGGTGGATACCGGCGGAAGATTCTGTGAGGTTGAAGGGTTGGGATCCATGGCCCGAGCTGACGGGAACGAGCGGCAACAAGGAGGACGACAGTGATCGGCTAATGGGCGAATGGCGCGCATCGGCCCATGATGCGCGCGGTTGGACTGAACAGGCCACACGCTGGTGCACGGTCGACGGAGAGGTGCAAGAGAGCAACGCACAAGGGTGCGCGACAGGTGAACGCGAGGTGTCAGATGCGCAAGGGCGCGATGTAGGCGAGCGGGCCACAGACGGTGGCGAGGACGCACGCAAAGTGGCTGGCTGGGACGCGGAGCACGCATTGGCGCGCGAGTGGGACAGCAGCGCGGGCGCATGCCTATGCGCAATAGGCATAGGCGAGAACGGTAGCGTGCACGCATGCGATGGGGTCGGCGCCCAGCGGGAATGCGCGAGAGATGGCGCGTGCGGAGGACGCGGGCGAAGCCGCGGCCGACAAGGATTAAGCCTCGCAACCGCGCGACATGAGGCGGCCGAAAGGTTTATGGCGGTTGGAGTTTTGGGGCAAGAGGATTCCTTGTGCATCAAGATACTCTGTGTGCAAGACAATTAATTAGTATTTTGGTAGTAGTAGGATTTTATTTCTATGTTGCTTTTATTTATTAGTAGTAGAAGATGCTAGGAGATTTACTAGCATTAGGATTTATTTTATTGCATAGAATAGGAGATCTAGTTAGATTAGAATTAGATTTATTCTGCACCTATAAATACCCCATGTACCTCATCATAAAAGATGTCTTGAAAGTCTTGAATTGAGTATTGAATTGGTGAGCCAATTGTGAGGGGAACTTTATGTTCTAACGTGTGATAAACAAGGCCGTTAGTGCGTGTTTACATATAGTGTCGGAGAGAAGGCCGTTAGTGCGTCTTGATGTCACGGTATCTTGGAGAAGGCCCTGAGTGCGTCTGTTAGATACACCTATCGTGAGTAATTGAAGGCCCTGAGTGCGCAATTATTCACAACCCCGTATAGATAAAAACACGATCCGTCATCACCACAGCGCGTCGCACGCCCAATAGCGTGCCCCGCAACGTCCGTACGTCCGCCAACAGCGTTCCGCGCACGCTGGCCAGTAGTCACGCACGCCAACTGTAACACCCCACTTTGATTTTAAAGAAATTCCAAACTTTCCAAAAATCAGTATAAAATTTTCAAACTCATTTTCGAAATCATGGGCGTTTCACAACATTAAACATCAATCAAGTCGTATCTGGTTGTTCACATGGTTTTCATAACTTTTTAAAATTCAACTCCACATGATTATTAGCTAAACCACATAGCATGCATAATCGAAGACACATGATAATCCATAAATAAATCTCATACGAATATCAAACACAGGGTCCAAAATCCCGACACAGACTATTTTTGAAAACGTTTCAAAATGTCTCAAAGACCACACTTTATTCATAAAGGAAGTGGAAACATAAACATCATAATCATGACCAACCCACTCGTCTTTTCCCCGTCATCCGGAACCTGCTTAACCTGCATCCGTTAAGAGCATGTGGGAGTAAGCACAAGATAAAAGTAGTGCTCACTACTATGCACATAAATAACATATGTCAAATGATATGGTCGCAACATGAATATAAGATAATCACATCATGTCTCATCTCCTATCAAAATCACAACAACCACATTACTCCAGTGCACATCTATTGCTAGCCGCAGAACGGGGATTCATTACCCGAAGGCGGGAGTACATGCCACGCTACGGACACGGCCTTCCATATGGGCTTACGTACCTCGCAATGGCACGGCCATATCAGGACTTAAGGAGACTTGCCTCACAAGGACAACCGTATTACATCGACGGGGACAACCGTACCGACGGCCGTAACAACTCACATCGATAGGCTACATATTTCATATTCATACATAGATCATGCCCATAAGAAATAAACATTCATCATTCATGGCATAGACAATTTTAGATTAGAACCCACCTGGTACAACAAAGGAATATGGCACACAACGGGAGTAGGCAGCGAGCACGGCTCGTCAGACACCTACAATAATTTAATACTAAGATCAACACCTACTTGACCTTAGAGAACAATCACAAGCATACATTGGTCGAACTTGATTCAACCAAGTAGTTCGTGAAGTTCCGTGGATATTGGAACACTTGGATCCTACATCTAGACTTGACCAAAATGCATATTAATAGCAGATATAGTCTTAGCACACTAAACAAAGTCAAACAGTTCAAAGGCACACATAAGGGTTCGGGAAAAATTATAAGAAAAGCTTGGGTCTGGCCCCGGGCTGTTCGCTGGCATGGTCGTGCAC